AGAGGAAGCAGCATGTGAAAAGGTCTAGAGGCAAGAGCCTATTTAGCTGGAAATGGTTCAGTTTGAGAAGAAAGAGAGTGTGTGTAAGTGTTGTGAAGACGTGAGACATGAGAAGGCAGAGGTAGTCAGAGGCCAGATCAGGAAGGCCTTATAAGCTACGGTGAGGAGGCAGGACTTTATTGTAAAGGCAATGAATCAGCTTTGAGTGGTTTAGATAGTTTGGTTTTTTGAAAAAAATCACTCTTGTTTCTGGGTGGAGATAAGACAGTGTTTGGTGAGGTACAGACATATATAGAAACAGGAGCACAATTCAGGATGCTATGGTTCAGGCAAGAGATGATAGTGGTTTAGACCAGAATGAGCTTACTGAAGGATTAGATGTGAGAGGCAAACGAGAGAGAGACCTCAAAGATGATTCTGTGTTCCACTGAGCCATACCCCCAGCCCTGCTTCCCAGTTGGACAACTGAGGTATTGGTAAGTACTGTTAATGGAGATAGGGAAGATGGAGGGAGTACATCTAGGGGAGGGTGGGAGATGAGTTCAGTGCCATGTTGGGCTTGAGGTTCCAGGGTGACATGTCCTACGATCATCTAGGTCCAAAACTTGGGAGAGAGGATGAGGTTATAGACAAATGGCAAGATCTTAAGAGTGGGTGAGGAGTGGGCTAGGGATATAGCTCAGTTAGTAGAATGCTTGCCTCGCATGCACAAGGCCCTGGGTTCAATCCTCAGCACCACAAAAAAAAAAAGAGTGGGTGAGAAGTGGGTGAGGTTGCCCAAGGGAGTGGAGGATGCCATGCTTTGTTCAGTGGTACTAACCTGTCAAAGGATTCCTTACTTTTTAGTGCTTGTTTCACTCCAAATCATGGAAGGCAGATTTATTTATTTTTTTAATTTTTTTAAGAGAGAGAGAGAGAGAGAGAGATAATTTTTTTAATATTTATTTTTTAGTTTTCGGCGGATACGACATCTTTGTTTGTATGTGGTGCTGAGGATCGAATCCAGGCCGCACGCATGCCAGGCGAGCACGCTTGAGCCACATCCCCAGCCCCATGGAAGGCAGATTTAGAATGTACTTATCAAAGACTTTAAAATTTAAGGCAAAGACTCTGAAGATAATCGCTTAGCTCCCTCCTTTATTCCTTCTTTCGTCATTCCCACAGCATCCTGGGCTGAGTTGAGCTTCCAATAAAATAATTTAGCTAGCCCCAGGGACCAGGCCAGTTGCCACTCTTAAGAAATTCAGTTTATAGCTCCCTCTGCTGGCAAAGCCAGAGATGACTCTCAGCTGGGGTACTCTTCATCCCAGCCCTTTCTTTTCCCCTCCTCCTTTCCTGGGACAGAACCCTGTCACTCCAAGACACAATTAAAGCCTCAGTCCCAAACCAGGTGTGGTGATATACGTCTCTAATTCCAGCTACTTGGGAAGCTGAGGAAGGAGGATTGCAAGTTTGAGGCCAGCTTCAGCAATTTAGGGAGACCCTGTCTCAAAATTAAAAACAAAATAGGCTGGAGATGGAGCTCAGTGGTAAAGTGCCCCTGGGTTTGATCCCCAGTATCAAACAAACAAACAAACAAACGAACAAACCTGGGAATGCGACTCAGTGGTAAGAGTGCTCCTAGGTTCAATCCCTAGTACCACATTAAAAATCACCTCAGTCCCAGTCCACTTCATTCCCCCTCCAGATCTCCTACTTTAAAATAATGCTAGCTAGAAATGGGGGGAGAACTAATTAGGTGTCTAGAAACACAAATTGAATCCCTGGCCCAAAACCTCCCTCTCTCTCTCTCTCTCTCTCTCTCTCTCTCTCTCTCTCTCTCTTTTGGTACCAGGGAGTGATCCTAGTGTGCTTAACGACTGAGCCACACCCCCAGCTCTTTAATTTTTTTTTTTTTAATTTGAAACTGGGTTTCACTAAGTTACTTAGGGCCTTGCTAAGTTGCTGAGGTTGGCTTTGGATTTTTGATTCTCCTGCCTCAGCCTCCTGAACTGCTAGGATTACAGGCATGCACCACGGTGGCCAGACCAAACCCATTCTTGATATACTTGCAGTATACTTGCAGAGGAAGACTTCATTTGGTTATTTACATCTATCTCCAGAAGCACTCTCTTTCTTTCTCAGTCCCTAAAAGATTTGCCTCTTTCTTCTTCAAAGCAGGGAAGCCACAGTCTATGCTAGAAAGAGCACTGGGTTGGGAGTCAAGGAACCTAGGTTTGCTATTGATTCAGGGTGTGACCCTGGACTAGTCACTTCTGACTTGGTGGCAGTTCCCTTACCTGTGGCACTGGACTAGACTCCACAACTCCAGTTGGGGTATTTGAGGCTTTGCTTCAACTACCTTAGCTTTTTCAGTTCTTCCTCTCTTCTGCCTCAGGGCCTTTGGTCATGTTATTCCTTATTCAGTAATGAGGCTCGAACCCAGGGGAATTCTATTACTGAATATAGCCCAAGACCTTTTAATTTTTATTCCGAGACAGGGTCTTGCTAAGTTACCCAGTCTGGCCTCAAATTTGTGTTTCTCCTACCTTAGCCTCCAGAGTAGCTGGCATTACAGCTGTGCATCAATATACTGGCTTCATTTTGTTTTGTTAACTCCTCCTTACCCTTCAGTTTTCAGCTCAAATGCTGCTGAGGGAAATCTTCTCCAGCTCCTCTGGGATGGATCAGGTACTTCATGGTATACTGTTATAATTGCATGTAACTTTGTTTCTGAGCCTTCATTGTGTTTATAAATTTCCACATATTTGTATGATTATTATTTCAAGTCCATCTCCCCCCCTCAAACTTTTAATTAATTAATTTATTTTATTGGTATGAGGAATTGGATCCAGGGGTGCTTAACCTCCAAACTACATCCCCAACCCTTTTTATATTTTATTTAGAGACAGGGTCTCACTCTTAGAGTCTCGCCAAGTGGCTGCACCTGGCAAACTTTATTTTCTAGAGTAAGGATTTAACCCAGGGGTGCTTTACCACTGTGTTACATCCCCAGTCCTTTTTTATTTTTTCATTTTTTTTTTCGAGATTTTTTTTTGGTGGTGCTGGGGCTTGAACCCAGGGCTTACCAACTGAACTATATCCCCATCCCACAAGCACCTATCTTGCTTGCCATTCTAACCAAGCTGCCACATCCTTGCCTGCCCATTTTGTAAAGGCTTAACATATTCATTAAATGAATGAATAAATGAAAGGATGAATGAATCCTTTTCTTCTCTTATCTCCTGTTTTTTTTTTTTTTTATCTAATTAGTATAGTGTTTAAGAGCAGAAAGCCAACTGAGGGTGTGGCTCAGTGGTAGAGCACTTAACCAGTATGTGCAAGGCCTTATGTTCAGGCTGGAGATGGAACACCAATACCAAAAACAAAACAAAGCAAAACAAAAATTAGGGGTGCAGAAATAGAGCAAAAAGTCAAACTCAGATTTCCTGGGTTTGGAAACCAGCTTTTCCAATCAAAAACTATGCTATTCAACATTTCTGTGCCCAAGTTTCCTCATCTGTAAAGGGAAAATGATAATAGTATATACTATCTAATAATGTTGGTAAGTAGTATACAAGACTTAGCATATATAAAGTATGTAGAACAAAGCCTAGCACCTAAGTACTATGTAGGTAATAGCTATTGTCCTTATTCTGTCTCATCCTTCTCTCCACTTACGCATTCTAAACTCTCTCACTAAGCCTCATTATCTTATTTCCGGTCTGTGAGGATGGGTGACTCAGTGTAATTTGCAGGTTGGGTCAAAAAGTGTTTTTTTTTTTAATTTCATTTTGGAAATTTTCCAATACCCAGAAGCAGAGAGAAGAGGATAATGAACCTCTGTAACAACCTTCAACAGTTATCAACATTTGGCCAATCTTTGTTCATCTACACCCCCTCTTTTTTCTCCCTACTGGAGTATTTTAATTTAAGCCCCAGATGTCATATAATTTTGTCTGAAAATACTCCAATATGTACCTCTAACAGATGAGGACTAAAAAAAAAACCCACAATACCATTATCACACTTAAAAATTAACAATAATTAGGGAGGCCTTTTTAAACCTTGTTCCCTTGAGAGATGCTGGGGAAATGGGAGCCCTCAATTCACAGGATAATGAGAAACAGCCAAGAGAATTAATATATGTAAAGTGCTTTGGACAGGGTCTGCCACATAATAAGTGGGATGTACTAGTAAGTATTATTTTGATTCTTTTTCATTCTGTCCATTTAGCCACTCTAACCACCATCTCACCTCCTTATTTTCAGGCTGGCAATGTGGATGACCTTTTATAAAGGAGTAAGCACAGCCCAGGCTGAAGAATTTCTTGGGTCATTGGAGGCCTGGGGTGAGAGGTGGGACTCTAGAAGTCACTAAGAAGAGTTCAAAGGAAGCGGTGGGGCTGAGCGTATAGTTCAGTGGTAAAAGCACTGACCATGCATGCACAAGGTCTTGGGTTCCAATTCCAGCATCATAAACACAAACAAAAACCAGAGAGGAGCTACTGCAGGGCCTAGTATATGGGGAGCCTAAAGAAGGAACTGTGTGATAATTGAGCTGAAAAAACCCAGTAACCTATAAAAACAGGCAAATAGAGCTTTAGTCCTTCCTTCTCATTTGTTAGGGCCTTTGGAGATCACTGCCTACTGGAAAGCAGAGGGGGTTAGGGTAGTCAGGCTTGAAGGAATTCTCTTTATCATCTCTTTATAATTCACAGATGGGCAGCTGCCTACAGCCACCAGGAGCTTGCTTTTCTTCATTTTGAGTTATCCAGAGATATGGATAAAGATGGCAGACCCTGATCCAAAGCACAACTACAGATGGCCTTTCCTAGATGCTGGATAACGAGTTTTTGTGCTCCTACTTCTTTTCTATAGAATTCGCCCCTCTCCTCTTCTCCCACACTCATCCTTTGGGAACCCAGGGTACCTGAACACCTGGCCTACCTGTCTTACTCTGTGCTGCTATAAAAGAATAAAAGACTGTTCATTCATAAAAAATAAACATTTATTTCTTACAGTTCTGGAAGAGGGGAAGTCCAAGATCAAGGGGCTGGTAGGATTCATGTCTGCTGAGAGCTGATATTTCCTTTCAAGGTGGTGCCTTGTTGCTGCATCCTCCTAAAGGGAAGGAATGCTGTGTCTTTATGTGCAGAAGAGCAAATAGGACCTAAACTAATTACTAAGATTTTTTTTTTTACTTTCTAAAAACTTTAAACTTTTATTATAAAATCATGCAAATGTAGACATTTTATTTTTTTATTTATTTTATTTTTATTTTATTTTTTTATTGTTGGTCGTTCAAAACATTACATAGTTCTTAATABATCATATTTCGAAGTTTGATTCAAGTGGGTTATGAACTCCCAATTTTGCCCCATATACAGATTACTGTATCACATCAGTTACACTTCCATTAAAATGTAGACATTTTAGAAAATTATTTTTCTCTGGATGCATATATGTTTTATGTGGTACCATCAACTATAATCCCACAGCCCAAAGGGATTGGGCCTGAAGTAAAACCTTTCAGACCTTTTTCCTTCCATGTTGAAAGGATGAACACATTTCATGCAAATTTACACAAACACATTCTGTATAGATAATCCTTTTAAAAACTGTTTATGTATTGGTAAATGCTCATGCCAATATATTTATGATTACCTTTAAAATGTTTTATAGCCATTATTTCTAAACAGTTTCAGCTTCTTGCTATACTATTTTTATATAATAGAAAAAGCACTGGTTGAGAAAGGAATGCAGCTTGTAGTTTTGGAGTTGTGCCAAGATATTTTATAAACACCCATCCATTCAAGAAGGTGTAGCTGGGTGTGGTGGCACAGATCTGTAATCCCAGAAGCTCTGGAGGCTGAGGCAGGCATTTCAACTGGATTGAAAATGCCAGTTCAATCTTTTAACTCTGGGAGTTCAAACCAGCTGCAACAATTTAGCCACCCTAGCAATTTAGCAAGACTGTGTCTCAAAAAAA